GTACTAGTCTTTTATTTGTTAATTAATTATTTGCACGTATTTCACCCAGTTTATTGTGATTCTCTTTAATTTTCTATCTCGTATTTTTATTCTTATTCTTCTGTGTGAAGAAAACCTTCTGCTAAACCATGATATCGCAGGTGATTTACCCGCGATCTAAAAGAACTGGCGTAACAATATATAATAATAAATATCAGCATTATTAATTTAAAGTTCTAATTGATATATTAAGTTGATTATATATATAGATGTTTTATAATAGAAAGAAAGAAGTTATCAAAAAATTTTTTTATTTTAATAAATATTATTTTTTAGTAAAATAAATCAGATTTAATATTAACTCAAAAATTTAGTTTTTTTTCTTTTTCTTGCAAAGTATCTGGATTTTTTAACAAGATAATGACTTGAAACATACTTTTAAAAATGTTAAAAAAAAACTTGAAAATTCACCTTCTGAATCAGGTTTTTTCTTAATCTTCTTCTAGTTTAGATCTCAACCTGATTGAAAATATTTGGGCTGTTTTTAAAAAAAAAATTAAAAAAAATAGTTGCACGAAAAATTTAAAATGAAATTTTTTTAATGTAATTCATGAAGAATGAGATAATCTTGATAACTCTGTTACTTAACTGTATTAATAGCATGCCTAATCAAATTCAAGCATGTATTGATGCAAATGGAGCACACACTACATATTAATTATCTAATAAAATTTATAACTATTGTTTTTATCTTTATTTTAAATGTTATTTATTCTAATAAATATTTGCTAACTATTAACATTATTTTTTTAATTATTATGTATTATATAATGAATAATATAATATAATACAGATTTTAAGTACTTTAATAAATAAATAAATAAATTATTTTTTTAAGGAATTTTTTTTTTATTTATTAAAAGGGTTTTCCTTGTGAAAAAAGTTTTACGAAATGTCTCGCAAGAAAACATGTTTCTTCTGCGAGTATTCCTTTAGCTGAAAAAGAAAGAATTCAAATCCTGGAAACTTTGCTACTAGATTATTATTTAGGAAGTTCGTTTATATTCCAACCATGTAAACTTAAAAGTAAAAAACCGGTTCGTGAAATGAGCAATCAGCATTTTCATTTATAATACAATCTAAAAAATTTATTATACAAATATAATCGAGATAATCGAGATGGAAAAAAAAATTGAAAATAAAATAAATATATATTAAACTTTCATTATAAACAAAATCATTAGTTCTTTAAATAATAAGAGTCCAAAAATTTGTTTTAATTTAATAGTTCGTTCCATACACTCACATTTTTAGGTTTTTGAAAAAGTATTATATTACAACAAAAAAAAAAAAAAAAAAAGTATCCAATCCAACCTTAAAAACGTACGTGGAAATTGACGACGACTATAGATAATTCACCAACCAAAAAAACATTAAAGTTTCAAAATGTTCAGCAACACTGGCATGTTTTAATCCATGTCTCTCTGTTGGATATGGCTGTAACATATGTGGTTTGTTATGCTTAACCAACGCTGATACTAACAATTCTGAATTCTTAAAATGAACATTTTCATCAATTTGCCCATGGGCAACCAAAAGTCGATTTTCACTACAAACATCAAGTTGGATTCATGTATAATAAATAATATTTCGATACAATTACAAAAATCATAAATCAAAAAAGAAAAGATTTAATTTTAAATACCTATCGGGAAACTTGTCAGCCCAAGTGAGAACACTTCCATTACGATATCCTTCCGGATTTTCAGATGGGAGTCCCATGTAACGTTCGGTGTAAGCTGTGTCATAAAGCTCCCACTGCGTTACAGGCGCTCCCGCAATGGCCAATTTAAATACGTGCGGATATTGAGCCAATGCCATTAGACTTAAATAACCTCCATAACTCCATCCCGTAATGGCTACTCTTTCTAGATCAATTCCCATATTTTTAGTTGCTAAATAATTGAGTCCTGCGATCTGATCCTCAATTTCAACGGTACCCATGCGACCTTTGAGAAAAGATTCAAAAGCTAGACCCCTATCCGAGGATCCACGACCATCAATTAAGACTACTGCGAATCCAAGTCGTATTGCAAGAAACAATCGAAGTAATCGCGGATATTTATAATCATTAGTCACCATCTATAATAATAAAATAAAGGTCTTAATGAAAAAAAATTTCAATAGTATAAATAAATCATAAATAAAATCATAAGACCAACCTGAGATTTCGGTCCACCATATATGCTTAAAAGGGTGGGATATTTTTTCCCAGGAACATAATTTTCAGGCCGATATAGACACCCATATATTTTTACACCATCATTATTTATAAAATCAAAAAATTCTCCTAAGGGAACTTTTTTTGAGAGCTTCTTATCGTCCTGTTCTTTCTTGTTGTCTTCTTTACCCTTCACGTATAGACCAATTGTCTCACTAACGCGAGGAAAGATACTTCCCTTATCCCATACTAAATAACGTACACTACATCGTGGTTGTTCACTAATACTTGAAAACCAATCTAGATATCTTTCACATTTTACGTCCATAACCACAATATGACTGTAACCTAATTCCGTCAATCGTATTACCTTCGAAGAATCGGCATCTTCCGAATAACTAGCGACGTACAAGTGTGTCTCTAAAGGTGTATCTTTCTTTGCGGTAAAATAAACTAATTGTCTTTTTGTATCGACGTATATTTGTTTGTCCACAATAGGCCAATTTCCAGAAGTAATCGTTCTAATGTGATAATTTGGTGAAGATACAGACGGCTTCACCACAAGATAAAGATGACGAAAACCACTACTTTCTGAAGTTAAAAAAAGTTTAGTGGGTGATAAAGGTGTTTGGAGTGTATGCGTTAATGGAGATGGTGAAGCAAGGTGTGTCCCAGACCTTGGATTACCGAAATCATTGTCATCATTAAAGAAATAACATATATCCGTGACCTAACATATAAATGTCAAGAGTTAATTCTTATTCAACCCTAATCAATCTCGAAATAAAAATCGAGTTACCTACATTTATCCAAACGTCACTACTTTCTTCAAAAACCACCTCAATTCTTGATATGCATAAATCATCATACTGGCCACATGTTTGCTGATACTCCGCCATGCTCATAAAATTACAAATTGGTATTTTTACAATTGCCGTTCGCTTTTGTAATCGATCAAGAAATTGCACCCACACACTTTTTTACGCGAGAGTATTTGTAGAAAGACGGAAAAAAATTACGCGGATAAAGCGTTACGACTCAATTGAATATCATATTTAATTAATAAATATAAAAAAAATATATTTATATTAACAAAAAGAATTAAAACGACACCAATACCTTTTACCATTTGGACACCATCCAAAACGTACGATATACTCCATCCAAGGGAAGCGCTTATCCAAGGCGGCCTTGCCCCAAAGTCTTTTGTGAACTGGTTCATAAGTATCCTTTAAAGATCGGTCGTGTCAAATAATTGACACTTTTAAAAAAAAGAAGAAAGGACTTCAAAATTATTGAATAAAGATATTGCATTCTTATTTACCTCCTCTTCATGATATCGAGGAATAAATTCTACAATCTGTAAATCACTCACAGCATTCGGCGTACCTAAGTAACATTCAAATTTTATGAATTTTATTTTTTTTAAAAAAAAATTTTATTAAGTACGAAATAAAGCTAATTTACCGGCTTTTGGATATCTATATTCTTCCACTTCCCCTTGCGGACCTGGCCTTGATATTAAAATTAAATCGACCATAGATTCAGAAATTTGCAAGTATAAAATACGTTCGAGATTATCTTTCATATAGTTTGATAATGAAGGTGGCGCCCAATAATAGCCCGAGAATCGGTGGAATTCCTCCTTTGATAGATATACGAAAATAAATAAATATATATTTATCCTAAGATTAACTTAATTTAGTAGGCAATAAAATTTTTAAATTAAAATATTTCATCTTACCTGCATAACAAATTCCGCGACACCACAACTTAATGCTGCTGTGCCATCAGGATCATGATCGTTGCAAAATGTTAACTGAGTTTCACAACCATTAGGCGTAGTTACCCATATATCTCGATCTCGGATGAAAGCTACTAAATTGTGATCATGACCACCTAATTTTGGGTCCAATCGAGGTGGTACTGAATGAATCGCTGACGAGCAACATGGTGAGTGTGATGGAGATGATGAAGCGGTGGTTGAAGGGGATGAAATGGGAGAAATGCTATTGTGTCGCGATGAATTATTTATAGGGTAATTTAAAATGTTGCCTGAATATATTATAGGACCAGAAGAATAGGGTGATATGGAACGCGGATGAAATTCTCCATTCTACAAAATTTACGCGAGTTAGAGTCAAAAATTAAAATTAAAAATATAGATAAATTAAAAATTGTAATATACAGTGAAAAGGAGCTTTTTATATGCGTCAAAATACGAACGTTACCTTGGTCGTATGTCCTAAATAGATACCACTTCCATAACTGAACAAGATTTGTCCACTAATTGGGTCAAATTGGTAGCTCGTTATACCCTGTAAAGATAACCTCCTCCGTTCTTTTATGAATGTTTCTTCACGTGATAATGTCTCTGAGGTGGATGTAGACTTTTCTTTCAACCATGATTCTGGAAGCAAAGGTTTCCATTCCACAGCTGGAATTTTTGACAATGCATTTACATTTTTTGAAGTCTGAGAAATTTTTGGATATGAAGTAGAAGACATTTTGTTCATATTAAAACCATCCGAATCTGATAATGTGATAGGTGGAGGTGAGAGTGAAGATGTATCATTGGAAGTAGATGGACAAAAAGTAAAGGAAAATTCTATAAAACGATTAATTATATCGATGAATATTTATTTACGTATAACATCATTTGAATATTAATTTTCCTTGTTATATAATAAATATAATAAATTAACGTATGTTAACACCAACCAATCTGATTATAATACATCGTAACTTTTTTTTTTTTTTTTTTTGATTTTCGAATTTATTTACAAGATTGTCAAGATTGTTTTATTTAAAAAATCTTTGAAGATATACAAGCCAATGCGGGTCATTAAATTCATAAATAAATGCAACATCAAACTACACTATTCTATGATTATCACAGTCGCCACATAATAATCTTAATTTTTAATAACCTATATATTACGTAAAGAAGCGAAATAAATAGATAAATTAAATAAAATGATCGTTTCTTACCTTTCACCTGAAATTCATTATTATGGAACGTGAACGGGTGGTCATTACAATTGGAATTAACCGTCCCATTCCGAGCAACTTCGTTTATTTGTTCGCTATTATAATGAGGCAAATCAGCCACAAATAAAGTTGAAGTTTTCATTCGTGAAGGATCTGTCGCAAGAAAGTATGCACGATTGTTCCTTTCGTCAAAACAAAAATCCTTAATATTTGTTAAGTTGGACGGCTGAGCATAACTTCGGTATGCTCTAACCTCCTTACGAACTTGATCCCACGTTGTATTCATGACACGATTAGATCTGGAAGTGGGAGACGGTATATTGGTTGATTGAAACATGTTGCTTCAATTTGTGTGAAACTTTTGGTTCGAATGTTACAGAATATAAACTTTAAAACTGATTACGTCATGAATCACATGGTTAATGAAATTGAAATTTTGAGAGAACAAATAATGGGGGGGGGGGGGGGTAAAAAATTTTATAGTCTTTTTGGCGCCGCGATCACGCGTTTCCCCAAGTAGATTTTCACCAGAGACCCGGAATTATTCCGATATCAAATCACAAATTCCATCACGATAGTTGTCACGTGTCGGAATAAAATTATAAAGTTCCGTTTTATTCATTTTAATTATAAAAATGGAATAATTCCGGGTCTCTGATTTTCACACTATAAAAAAATTACACTGATCTGGTAGTACTACAGATTTCCCCCAATTTTTTTTTAATTTTCTCACGATACTTTCGTGGTATAAAGTGCATAAAATCTAACGAATTTATCGAATATTCACACTGTAGATAAAATATAAAAAGACAAGATTATGTGCTTTATTTTTGCTATATTTATGTTATAATTAGATATAAATTACTTTATCTTGTTTCCTTTATTCACTAATTGACCAAATGCACAATTTACAAATATATTTTTTATTCCGGCGCAAATTTTGAATTTTGAATAACAAATAAAAAAAATTTGCTTTATATTAAAAATGACACTTCAAAGTTATGATGTCGTTGTGAGTTTCTTTAGTGTGGTATTGGATATTTTCTTCCGTGAAATAAGGCCTCGCGGATCACATAAAGTACCAAAGGAAGGGCCGGTAATATTTGTCGCAGCGCCTCATGCAAACCAGGTAAAACGATTAATTTTTTTAAACTATACTAGAATGCAATAGATCCGTTGCCATGATCCATAAAATGTCTTAAATAGTATGTCGGGAATGAAATAATGCCTGGATCGAATCTTAAGGTTATCAAATAAAAAATCTTTTTTCATCAATAGTAACATTAATTGTTTCGTCATTAGTTTGTTGATCCATTGATTTTGATGAGGCATTGTCAGAGGCACGTTTCATTCTTGGTTGCAGAAAAATCGATGCGTCGCAAATATATCGGAGCAATGGCTCGTGCTGTTCATGCAAGTGAGTAATAATCATTCAATGATTTCAAATATATATATATATATATATATATTTATATATTTATGTATGTTTATATAATGAATCGAAACAAATTTATTAATTAATGATCATGTTTTTAGTCCCGGTTACAAGGCCTCAGGATTTAGCTCAAGTCGGAAAAGGACGAATTCAACTTCTTAATCGTAAAACCGATCCAACTCGAATCACCGGTATCGGAACTGCATTTACACAACAGTTGAAAGTTGGATCTCGAATTGCTCTTCCTATGGATCACGGCTCGTCTGAAGTAAAAGAAATATTATCAGACACGGAATTAGTTATAAAAAGAGAATTCAAAGAGATAGATGCTTTAAACATGCTTACAGATCCTGAAGGCACGCAATATAAGTGTTTTCCACATATTGATCATAGTCAAGTATATAAAATCGTTTTCGATACCCTGAAAGAAGGTCATTGCATTGGAATATTTCCGGAAGGTGGTAGTCACGACCGCACGGAAATCTTGCCCCTTAAAGGTAATTATTTAACCATGATGGATTCTTGTATATCAAATTATATTATTAATGATTTTATTATAGCTGGCGTGACAATAATGGCTTTGGGAGCTATTGCTGCGAATCCCGACTTGAACGTTAAAATAGTTCCATGTGGTAATTAAAATTCTCAAATGATTGCCGTTTATCAATACTTCCTTTTTTTTTTTTAGATTATTCAAATATATTAATTAATCTCTGAAATTAATTTTTGAGAATACAGGTTTGAATTATTTTCACGCTCACCATTTCAGATCACGTGCGGTTATAGAATTTGGTTCTCCAATTTCTATTCCACCTGATTTAGTGGAGAAATTTAAGGAAGGAGGCTCATCAAAAAGGGAAGCTTGTTCGAAATTATTGGAAGACATTTATAATGGTTTAAGAGCTGTTACCGTCAACACTCCAGATTATGAGACGTTGATGGTTTGTTAATTAGCTAATTATTTTCTGTTAGATAGTGTTCAAGCGTAGATTTCTAATTTGTTTTAATCATCAGTTCATACAAGCTGGACGTCGTTTATATAAGCCGGCTCATAGAAGATTACCAATTTCTCAAATTGTTGAATTAAATCGGCGATTTGTGGCAGGTTATGAGCATTTTAAAGACAATCCCAGAGTTCAAGAAATGCGAAAGCATATTATGGAATATAACAAATTATTAAAATATCATGGGTTAAAAGATCATCAAGTTAACAGGTCAGCTATGGGAGGAACTAGAGCTGCCGGATTATTATTCTACAGAGTGATATTATTAGCAACTTGGGGAATCTTAGGGCTACCTGGGTAGGTGGTTAGTTTTTAGTAATCAATATTACTATATCTATTTATTATTTAATTGTCTAATTTATATACATGTGCGTTTATTAGATTTATTTTAAACTTGCCACTTGTAATAATTGCGCGTAAAATTAGCGAAAGGAAAGCCAAAGGTTATTATTTTTATCATCATCATCATCAATTTTCTTTCATAATAATTCACTTAACGCGTATTAATCCTATATAGAAGCTGTCCGTGTATCATCTATCAAAGTGGCAGGACGTGATGTGCTGGCGACATGGAAATTACTCGTTGCTCTTGTTGTCACTCCCATGCTTTATGGCTTTTATACATTCATTGTGGTTCTCATTTCATTTAAATATAGGTGGATATTAAAATGGAAGGTTTTTGCTCCTATCTCAACCTTTTGCACGTTGGTCACGGGAAGTTATGCGACCATTAGATTTTACGAGAGTGGAATTGACGTTTACAAGTAAGATTTTTGAATTTGTACCCGATATAAGAGAAAGTGTTTATTTATTGATCACATATATATTTCATTTTTAAGATCGATTCGTCCACTTTTCCTGTCACTACTTCCATGGACACGATCTTCTATTAAAAATTTACGCACAGTTCGTGAGATATTATCAACTGATATTACTAACCTTATTAATGAGTTAGCACCACAAATTTATCATGATTTTGATGTTGAAAGGATCGTTCAAGCAGCAGCAGAACGTTCTGTAATGTCTACACTTTCAAATAGTTTGTTCCAATCACCAATAAATTGGCTAGATGATAGGATATTTAATTGGGAAAGGCAAGGAGAAACATCAGAATTCGATGATGTAATTTACTTTTTAGAGAAAAATAATGGTAGTGCATCAGGACGTAGTAGAACAAGTTCATGGGCTAGTGGATCCAATTCAAGACCTAGAAGTAGAGCAAATTCAATTACGTCCGGACCTCCAGGAGAAAGTTATCGGGTTGAAGCATTAACAGAGTTACCTAGAGGTGAACCTTTCTCAAAATTAAATTTAAGGACAGGAGGATTTACCAAAATCAAGAGTAAGGAATCTGAAGAAGATCCCGGATATCATGGGGATGGGGAGGATGATGTGAGAAAGAAAAATGCTTCATAATAAATTAAGTTATGATATCTATGGCTGATATATTTAGAAGTCGCCTCGAGACAATTTAATTTAATTTAATGTAATTTTCTGGATGAAAATTAATATTATTTACATGTAATTTATAATTAGGTGTAAAATAGGACAATTTAATAAAATTTTATTACCGGTATTTCTATACTATTATTTATGGTGATACAAAACTAAAAACACTAAATCGATCGGAGAAAATACCTTTTCCCAATAAGCTTAAATTATTTCCAAACATAGATCATCAAATGTAAAAATTATTTCGTGCCTAATCCCATTTTTTTTTTTTTTTTTAAAAAAAAAAATAAAAAATAAAAATAAAAATGTTTAAAGATTTATTAATTTTTAGTACATTTGTTAAATTATTACTATTTCCTACATAGTAAGTTTAAAATCGTCGTTAATTATAATATTTTATATATTTTATATAATGAAATGAGTATTCATTTTTTTAAAAATAAAAAGTCGTTCAACGGATTTTGAAGTTCATCGAAATTGGCTTGCTATTACGCACAGTCTTCCGATATCAAAATGGTATTATGAAGATAGGAGTGAATGGACTTTAGATTATCCACCATTTTTTGCATGGTTCGAATGGTATTTATCACAATTTGCATCATTAGCGGATAAAGGAATGCTTAAAGTTGATAATTTAAATTATGCAAGTGATGCAACCATTTATTTTCAACGTACTACTGTAATTATGAGTGAATTAGTATTTTTTTATGCATTGAAAAAGTAAGTCTTAAATATTTAATATCTTTTTTTTTGTTGAATGTGAATTTAATAATAATAAAAATGTTTTGAATAGATATATGACCATAAGTAATATGGAGAATAAAAAACTTTTAAATATAATTAATATAATTGTTACATCAATCTTCTTGAATCCTGGAATTTTAATGGTTGATCATATCCTTTCGTTTGTTTTCACAAGCTTTTTATTTTTTGTACTAAATCTTTTCATTTATTGACATCCATTATTTGTTCTTAAAAAGAAACAATTAATTGGAAGGTCCTTGTTTGAATTCAATTGTTGATTTTTAAATCCTTGATTTATTTTAATTACATATTCATTTTCAATATAATGGATTTCTTTATGGTTTATTTTTGCTTTCATTGGCACATGCCAAAGAGGTAAGTAAGTTAAATCACTTTCGAAGCGTTAAAATCATCAATATAACACTTCTCTTTTACATTCGTCTTGTATATTAAGGGAAATGATCTGATGTGCGGGATAATGTTTGCTCTTTTGCTTAATTTTAAACATATTTTTCTTTACCTTGCCCCTGCGTATTTCGTATATTTATTGAGGCATTACTGCTTTCAAAAAACATCCGAGCAAGGTACATACAACCAACAACAACAAAATTATCAACAAAAAACAACAAAAACTCTATAAATAATCCAATCTCTTCAATTGAGAAAAATAATTTTTAATCGTTTATTACTTAGGAACAAAAAAATTTTCAGTTAAAAATTTTTTCACCCTTGGATTTTCGGTCATTGTAATATTTTTACTTTCATTTGGACCCTTCATTATGATGGGACAATTGAGACAAGTCCTTTCCCGATTATTTCCCTTTAAAAGAGGATTATGTCATGCATATTGGGCGCCGAATTTTTGGGCCTTGTATGCTGCGGTGGATCGAGTGTTGATTGTTGGTAAATATATTAATAATAACAACAATTGATGATTCATTCATACGTAATGAATAAAGATTTGAACTTTGATACATATTTAGTTGCAAAACGATTCGGATGGACGTTAAATGTATCGGCAATTGGTTCTATTACAAGAGGGTTGGTTGGAGATGTAAATTTCGCGTTATTGCCACAAGTTCAAGCGAATCATACTTTCATTCTTACCTTGGTATTCCAGACGGTAATTCCCTTAAGTTTTAAAAAATGAATTACAATATATAATATATTATATGTATTTATTTTATTTTTTTTTTCGTTAGGCATCTCTTATTAAATTGTGGAAATATCCAACTTACAAGAATTTTCTTGGATCATTAATTTTGAATGGGTACTCTTCTTTTCTATTTGGATGGCATGTTCATGAGAAAGCTATCCTGTTGGTTATGATTCCTTTCAGGTAAAATATATCCAACGACTGTAGTTTTTTTAATTAATTTATACAATTTAAAAATTTTAAACTACATTGTGATTCATTAGCTTGATTTATACGGATAATATCCAACTTTTCCGTTCTTATATGATACTTGCAGTATCCGGAATATTTTCTTTGTTCCCACTTTTATTTAGATTGACAGGTATGCTTTCGTTTGATATTCCTCCAATTTGTTTCAATGTATTTATTTTTCTTTTTTCCTTTTTTTTTTTTTATAGAATCAACCATCAAAATTGTGATCTGTTTACTATGGTTTATTTTAACCTTCATGGGAATTGTATCCAATTTTAACTCTATCAAGTAAATATATTTTAACGAAATTTTCCTTTTAATATAATATAAAAATTCTCATTGAAAAATTTTATTTCTATTCTTTTTTTTAGAAATAATAAGCCCGATATAACATACTCACAAAAAGATAGATTCATCAAATCTTCGTATTTGATAGAATTAGCGGAAAACATATATATGTTTGGGTTTATCGTATTACAATTTTTCACAGGAATTGCACATCAAATCATTTATAATAACCAGTATCCTTTTTTGCCTTTATTAATAACATCCGTATACTGTTCTTTTGGTATAATGTATTCTTGGATTAGATTGAGTTTATTTTATTTTTTTGAATAAGTTTTGTTTAATAAACAGATTTGTTCTCATGCATGAAAACGTGTATTACTTTCGATTTTACAACGTTCGTGTGCTAAAAATTCGTGCAGCATTTCGAGAAATTTTGAGCGATTAGGCAATAATAATGCGAATTTTATCATTATCAGTTATTAACCATTTTGTTTTGTTATAATGAACTCTTTCATGATATTCTGAAATGCTAGAAACTTACTATTACAAATTGTACTTAAGTAAGAAATTTAACGTGTTACTTTTTCAAATCAATTCTTACAAGAAATTTAAGATGCAATTGAAAAAAAAAAAAATGAAAATTTCACACTCTTTGAAAGTCCTTATATGGACAATCGCACAACCTCCAAAAAAAGATTATAATCAATGACTAGATAATCTTGATGTGCACCAGTTTGAATTATCCGTCATACAGACATTTAATAGTAGAGATTTGTTATTTTCATAAAAAACTTAAACCTTTCATCTTTAAAAAAACGGCTAAAGGGACTTTTGTTACAAACTCATCAAATTCAACGCGTAAATAAAAAAAAATACATAAAAATTTCCTTAATTTCGCAAATTTTCGAATCTACCTCATTCGATTTTTGTAACTTTCGGCGCAGTAACTGCGGTGCCTTCTATCATTTTTTAAAGCTAATAAATAAAAAAAATTTCCGCGCACATTTCCAAACGAAACATTCTACTATTTCTTTGTGTCCGAATAAGTCGTACTCAGAATTTTTCAAACTAATATACTTAATTGCTTTATTTTGACATCTAATCGCATAAAACATTTTTAAAAGTTTATGGCACCATTGTAACCGTTTTATTGTTCTCACGAATTGTCACAAAATGACGACGTGCCAATGTGATGGACCTACGATAAATTTCAAAAGCATCCTTATTTAAATTGACGGAAATTGTTGCCTCAGATTTCTAATCACATAAAGAAATCCTTTGCGTAAAGACTAAAAATTCAAAGAACTTTGTGAAAAAAAAAAAAAAACTGAATGTATGAGCGCAACGAGTTAGTTATATCATTTACTTGCATAACCACAGAATCCGCAGAATTAAGATTTGTAATGGAAAAGGGGGAAACTGCCGGGAAAAATAAAATCGAGTTTATGCTAAAATCTGAACCTAGAAATCATATAAAAGTAAAATTGACTTTTTCCGGCAGTTCCCCCTCCTATCGCAATCATATCTCATGAAGAAATTAATTGGTTCATATATAAGATATCATCATTTGAAAGAAAGAAAAATAAAAAGAAAGAAAAATGATTTATTAAAATGGGTTCTTAGTTTCAATTTTAAAAATTTCATAAATGTTCATGTATTTGCAGCGTAAAAAAAAACTATTTGTTTCTTAGTACAACAAATATTTGTTTAAAATTTCATACAAAAATTTAGAAAACTTATATACATTAAACAGATGCAAATTAATAAAATTCCCTAAGAAAATTTACGAAATGTAAGTTAGCAATAAATCATATAAATACTTCAAGTATCAAAAAAAAAAAAATAATTTATTACCTTTCGTGCTGATTTTTACACTGATCGCCAACACGCAAGAAGACTTTAATTACCCCATTTTCTTTCTTATCAAACATTTTATAAAATTTTCCGGCATCTTCCAAATTCCCGTGATGAGTAAAGATATTCATGTTCACTTTATTGATTTTCATGATTGATAAAAGTTGAACCCAATATTTTTGCACTTGAACTAGACCGCTTCGCAAAGTGAGTGACTTTTCCTAAACATAAATAACAAGGAAACATTCATTATCATTTATATTGAAAATTAATTGCCGCAAACCTTTCGAGAATCTTTCTTACCATAACCGCACCAATCGGAAAATTGTTGACCTTTTCGACAAATACTCCAACGATAGAAATTCTTCCACCTGCAACAACACGGGGAACGTTAGCAATTATTAACCTTATACGTTCAAAGTTACCGCTCTCGAGCTTACCTTTTTTAACACAACGAATTGCTTCATCTAATGCGTCAGTACTATCAGTCTCAGCCAAGAGTGTTTTTTCTACCAGTTGTTTAAGAGTTTTGGTATAACGAAATCCTGCGCACTCGATTGCAACGTCCAGTCCACCGGGAACAATAAACTTCATTTTAGCGACTATATCTTTATGCTCTTTGAAATTAATTGTTTCGGCTCCAAAATCATGTGCCTTTGCTAAACGTTGCGGAACACAGTCGATCGCTATAAAAAACGAAAGAAATATAAGAATTACCTATAAAAAAATCTCTCTGGAGAAAGAAGTTTTGATAATTCATGTCAAGATACCGATTATACGCGACGCGCCACGAAATTTCGCCCATGCGATTGCGCTTAAGCCAATTGGTCCACATCCTATTTAACAATAAAAATTGATTAGCAAGCAGTAAATTTATTTATCAACTAGTATATGGCCTTTTCCTTACCCCAAATTCCAACAATATCACCTAGATGGAAAAAGAAAGTGTTACAGGATTAAATAATTAAAAAAATATAAAAAGCGATACAGTGTAAATCAGATCGTCCCTTTTTTTTTTTTTTTTTGATTTTTCAATACCTTTAGACACTTCGCCTAATTCGTTGGCATGCCAACCAGTACATGCAACATCCGATAATAAGACCAATTTTTCCTATAAAATACCAATCAAATCGTTTTTTTTTTTAAAAAAAAAAAACTAACTTTGTTTATAATAATGTAATATATATATATATGTATATATTTTTACCCCTAAAGTTTGATAATCTTCTTCCGAAACTTGAAGAAGGTTGACATCAGCATAAGGAACCCGAACGTATTCAGCTTGAATTCCTGTAAAAAGACGTCATAATGATCATCTTGCAAATTAAAAAGACTCGAACGATGATAAAATTCGTTACCATCATATCCGCCAGTCAAATGGGAATATCCAAACATCCCACAGGTACGATAACCTGAAAACCCATTATAAATATTAGATCTATGACAAAAATTGGAAGGAGAAAAGCTTTGATAATTACCGGATAATTCATCCATCTCTTTACTTGGATTGGTGACGTCGCAACAACTAAACAATTTTTTTTGACAATACTCACATTGTCCACATGCAATCATAGCGGAAATGACAACGCGGTTATTTGGTTTAATATTTGCGACCTTTTCACCAACCTAATCAATTAAATGTGTCAAAAAGTATATATTTATATTATTGTAAAGAATATAAAAGAAATAAATAAAGGTAAATAATTATATACTTCAACAACGATGCCCATTCCTTCATGACCCACGATATCAGCTTTCTTCATCCCAGGGATTTCATTATGATACAAATGTAAATCGGATCCACATATAGTAGTTCCGGTTATACGAACAATGGCGTCGGTTGGTTGCTAATAAAACGATTATATAATGAGTCAATCTCGGACGTCCCAAAGGATTAATTCTACTTACAATGAGGACAGGTTTTTGACGTTTTGTATTGATGCGTATGTCATTACTACCATGCCACTCAACGGCAATCATGGTATCATTTAAAGGTTCTGCGAGTACAGTAATAGGAATTGGATTCATTTTTCGAAAAAAAAATTTTGAGAAAATAAAATTCAAGGAGGATCGCTTTGTTAAATTTTCTAAATTTTACAAAAATTCGATGATGTAAAGATGATCATTAATTAATGATAGTTAGTATATTTGATCAATTTGACATCATTACGAAAAGAAAAAACAAAAATCTTGTGATTTATTAATTTTTTAATAAATAAATTATTACTTGATCAAATAAGCAGGAATTTAACAGGCTTAATCATGTCCTTCATATTTAAAATCGTTTTACACATGATTTTATGTTGCAACAGATCGTCATTCATTTGGAATCATATTCAGTTCGAAAACCGAATTTTTAAAGTTATGAGGTACAAAATTAACTGAATAAAAAAAAATTTTTTAATTTAAATTTAAAAACAGATCTCGTCATTGGCAAATAAAAATAAATTTATCGAATATGCATCAAATATGCATCGATAAAAGTCTATCTAATAAGCTTTGCTGCGGTGATGCCATTGTCCAATGTAACGACGTCATGTGGTTAATTTTACTTTTTTAATTACAATTATTACAGTACATACAATTCAACAGTAATTTCACTCTCCATCATTCTTTTTCACAAAAATGATTTATTCTCGTTTTTATTAGAGATATTAATAAACGGAAAGCCACTAAGAGAATGTAGTGAACCTATAAATAAAAGATTTGTATGTTATAAGAAAAATTCATTCTCGTAACCATTACGTTTTATATATATATATTTTTTAATAGAAAATTTCTTACTTTTTTTTTTTTTTTTTTCACGGAAAGTCCGAAACAAAATGTACCAATCAATATTTAACTTGAAACAATAATAAACAGAACCTTCTTATGTACTTGACCAAAAAACTGGGCGAAAAATCGAAAGGTACGTATGTAATAAAAAAAATAAAAAAAGAAGCCATCACATGCCTTAGCATCCTTTTGTTAATCAAATCCTAATGAAATGATAAAACATACTACGCTGCGTTTGAAGAACTATGCACAAATTATGTATAATTCGATGCCTCGCATGATATCTTTTCATCATCTTGCACGATTCTTAAGGCAAAAGCTATTTGTTGATGGACAATGGGATCACACTTGTATGCAACTTCAAAAATTGAGAGTCAAAGCGAGTAAAGATGGATTTTTGATGAACAACGATATAAAAAATTTGTTTAAATTTGATGTCACAAATTTGGATAGATGATGATTCTAGGAGGGAAACGCGAGTTGTAAGATCAAGATTTAGAGGAATTGGAGCCATCTCCGTTTACTTTTATAAAGCTAAAGATTTGGAGAAGTTGAAATTATAAATAGTAATAATAGCAAAGATAAGTGCAAGTTTTTGAATCAACCGGAATTGGAATGGGGATAAAACTTTCTACAGGTTTTGAAAAAAGTCAAAACGTCAAAGAGACCTCGAATAAAATGTTAAGTAGTTTATCAACATTACCAATGGCTGTTTTACACATTCATTATCGATCAGAAAGTTGGCTACGTGCGAGAGATTTCTTTTTGATGACATCAGATAAAGAGTGAAATAGGTATTGAGTATGAAACATGAGTTTGATGAAATTAAGTCTAAAGGCAATAATGAGGAATGCAAGATTTTAATTAAAAGAAAATTCGCAATTATTGAAGAAAGAAAACAGAAAGGAAAAGATGATAATGGGGTAAAGTCAGACGTGATAAAGAAACGATTTAAAAAAATGCGAAGCCTGAAAAAGATTACTTAAGGCATTTCAGTACAAATCATTATCGGTAGCGATAGTGCTCTGAAACGATCGAGTCGATCTGGGTCGTTTGACCTGACTTGAATTTTTTCTCGAGTCAGAACTATCATTTTTATGACACGAGTTCTAATTCAAAAAAACCCACCGGGTCAGGGTCACGTTGTTGTTTGAACTGGGTTGACCCGTATGACCTGGATGATCGGACTCGCTAGACTTTTTTTTATGTTATGCAACTTTAATTTGTAACAAATAAATAATAAAAAAGTAAACCTATCGAAATTACAGCACAACTTTTTTTAGAAAACGAAAAGCATTGCGGAGTGAACAATTACAGTTTAAAAAAAAAATATTAAACATTAACTTATACATTTTTTTTATAAATCAACAATTGTTCGTTCCTTTTTTCTGGTGGAACTTTCCAAAAGATGTGATCTTAAAGCTAATACAATTTTCCTGTACATATGTGCTTTGAAATTTTGAAAAAAAAATAATAAATTTTAAAAATAAAATAAACTTCATATGATTTTCGGCATTAATAATTACCTTGAAAATTCGAGTCGAATCTGGGTTAAACAATGATCGGGTCGAGTTGAATTTGGGTTCTGTAATTATTAACGGGTTCGAGTTCGAATATGCCTTAAACCTGACCTGACCCTTACAAAGCATTAGGTAGCGAGACATGAAATAGACGTAATATTGCTAAAACTGAGAAGATTTGAACGTGAAAATGACATTAAAAATAATATTTACCTTATTGTCGGTCGTAGTACTTAATATTTATTTTATTGTCAAATCTAATTTTATTTTACCAAACTATTAAACAATGCAATTCATTTATAAATATTGATTGAATTTATTGACTGCATTTATTAATTATTATTATTATTATAAATGAATGCATTTACAAATAAATATATAACTAAAATTCTAAATTACAACCAATTAACCAGTTTTTTCAATAAAAAAGTTTAAATTACGTGTTAATTATTTATATATTATTTATTAATTATATACAATTTATAAATTTTATTTAAACAAAATTTACTTTTATTTTACGAAGTATCATTTGTATATATTCGTTTCTTGTCTTGTATTTTGCGATCTGA